CGTTGCATCGCCCCCACAGGCCAGGAGGGGAACAGCAACAGGTCGCTCAGAGGGTTCGGTTGGGAGAACCACAGCTGCTGGAAATGTAACCAGTGTTTGGATTTTTGTCTAGAACCGAGTCCACCAACAATCAGATGTGAAACACTCTTAATCTAAGGGTGTGAATGTTTATGCAACCAGATTGTGGCAACTTTGTGTTTATTTTTCTACCTTTTACCTTTGTGGAGCCTGAACTGTTGAAATCAAAGATGGACTTCTGATAGCTGGCTGGAGTTAGCCGTTGGAGTTAGCCGTTGGAGTTAGCTTCGTTGGAGCGGAGTGAAAGGCTTTAAGGGAGCAACGTGTTTGTGTGTAATGAGATGGAAAGTTTAATGCGACACTCGGCCCCTCCTGTTCTGCTGATTTCAAGGTGTTTGTGGCTGCCGCGCATTCCTGCGACCAGCTCGACTGGTTTCACTGTAATGGCCTTTTATCTGAGCACCTGTCTGTGTGCTGCTGTGTGCTGCTGTGTGCTGGGACTGGGACTGGGATGTCCGCCGGCTGAGCGCCGCAGCGCTGGAATGTCCTCTGTGAACAATATGAGTGCGGGTGTGTGTGTTTTCGGTGCTACATTGTATGATTGTTCTGAGAGGACAAGAGAAACTGTTCTGATTTCATTATTGATGCAGGTGTTTTTATTCATAAACTTAAAAGTAAAAACTTTATTATGGTGCCGTTTTCTGGGATTTGTCTGGAAGCATCTCAGGTTTTCATTCTGGTTTTTTCCCAGTTCAGTTGGGATCAGACAGGATTTTAACTGGTTTCAGTGAATAATGTGAATTTTCACTCTGGTGATAATAACAGCTTCCTTGGTCTTTGTTGATCTTATGTTAACGTTCTTATCTTTGGCTTATAAGAGATCATCACTATTCAGGAATCAGGTGTGGACTGATTTATGCCACTTCGCTCTGTCATCATGAAATAATCATGAAATGTATCTGTGTTGACTGTGATGTGGTTGCACTGCTCATAAATCATAAATCCTGGTACAATGAAAGTACAGACAGTGCATGCTGCTGCTACTGACATAAAAACACACTTTTTGAAACATGTTTCCTTTGGAAAATATGTTATTAATTATCGGCTTACCGCTCTACGCAGATGATACTCATATTCCATCATAGCTGAATCATAGTTGCTGATGTTTGTTCTCCTTCAACTTGTATTAACATGAAACTATTAAAACTCATTTTTCTTCGATTCGCTGGAAGTAAGTGTGTTAAACTTTTATGCAGCTCCAGTATTAAATGATTAATGACAATGTGGAATCTGTTGTGTGTTTGTACACTTGATATAAGATGTAAATAATAATAATATATGTCTTACACTTCAGCCAAATTATTGATTTTAGCTATTAAATTGTTTCTGTGCTGATGATACTTTGATTTGATTCAATTTTCAGTCATGATTACGTCTCTAGAGGCTGTGATTTCATTTTGAAGTTGTATTAATACACTAATGTGCTCCAGACCAGTTATGTAGTGTAAATAAGGACAAATACGACGTCTTTTCTTTGTCAGCTGTGTGATTGGAAGAGGCTGTGCTGTTCATTTATCTCTGTTGTTTATTAAAAGTTGAGTTTCTCTGTCTGGTTGGTGATTTACTCACCCACTTGGTAAAACTGAGTCGTTTCCTTTTGTTGGAGTCACAAAAGGAACAGACAGTTTAATCAGTTCCCAGGTCATTCTGAACATTGAACCCTGACCTCCTTTCCCTGCTGTCAACACCACAGCTGACCTTTGACCTCCACAGGTCGTCGTGAAGAACGGTGTTGAACCTGCTGAACCAGAACCAAACGGGCGTTTACTGTGGTGGTTAATGTGGTTGTAGATTAGCCAAATCCACCAGGGGGCAAAAATCAGGGCAGAACATTTAAAAATGTCTAACCTGCATGAAGTCGGACAGGAAAGAAAAGAAACAACTCAGGAATCCAGATCTTCAGCTTCTGGGTTCACAAATATATTCAGTTTCAAACTTACACCAATTCTGACTTTAAGTCCTGTTTGGTTTATCTCAGTTAAGCAGTAAAAATCTGTTGGTTTCAACAACAAACGGCTCATTTTGAACTAAATTATTGGAAAAACTGAAGTTTTTGATTAGATTTATTCATTAAAGGAGAGAATGCATGTTAATCCACATGGAGAGATCATGAAAATGATCATGTAAATGATCTGTCCATGTAGTGAAGAAGCAGTAGAAACGGCAGCTGTTGGCATTCACATGCATTCGAATTAATTTAAACTGAACTGAGTCCAGGGTTCATAGGTGAACCAGACTCTCTAATCTGGAGTTGGATTAAATTGGACTAAACAGGGACGGTGTGAATGCGCTCTGAGGCTAAAGAGCTTCCTTGCTAATCTGGTCCGTAGATACAGTTAATCTGTGGGATTGAACCTGCAGCGTATCGTTACGTTCTCATCGTCCTCTGGAGTAAAAAACGTTTCTGGTTTTTCCTCTGCAG